TAATAATGATAATAATAATAATAACATTTTATTATTTTCAATATTTTTACTGTTCGAACATAAAACTATTCTAGATAGAAAAAATCTTGATTTTTCATACTGTTGCTCAGATGAAAGTGTGGAGGGTACAAATTACAATTATTTGTTAATCAAGCCTGCAAGTAGGTCATTTGAGGGTTTCTCAAAAATAGTTTAACAATTCCTTCAATTACCTGGTGAATCTGGATCTAGGAGGTCTAAAGAAGGATGCCAGCCAAAGATGATTTTGTTTCAGATTATTCTCTTTACTCTGTTGAAACGTGGATTTGAGGGGAGATCCGTCTCCAGCCAAGGGAATTATTCTTTCAATCTAAACATTTCACAAATAAACAACACAAAGTTTTTAGTTGTTGGTTGTAAAGGTTCTGGATTCGTTATTTCTAAAAAACCTGTATTTAAAAAAGAGGGGCGTGCCCGAATCACAAAGTATCCTTTAAACCTTTGACTTGGTAATTTGTTTTCATCAGCTTTTTTTTTTAATTTTGGAAATTTTATCTTTAATTCGCCGGAAATAAATAATCATTTCGCATTTTTTTGAAAATTCCGTTTTGTTAAGATTATAAGGTATTTTCAAAGTATTTATGTTAAGTTATAGCTATGTTGTTGAGTTTATACTATACGCTGAGTAAACTCTGTAAACCTGCAATTTAGACCTAACTTTAGAGATAAACATTCGCAGTTACAGCTGCATAAAGGGTATAACCGTTGTAAATCTCCCATACCCCTGTTTGCATTCAGGGTCTTTTTAAACTACACTCACTGTCTAAGGCTTTAAATATTCGGAAATTATAAAAATGTTTCATAATTGCAAGATATTTTATGTTTTATAAACAACACATGACTAACAATTATTTATGTTTTGAAAAAACACTATATTAACTTGTGCAATTGGGAATTTTTTACATCGCAATGTATAAATATATGTAACTTACATTAGTTTTTAACCTTTTCCTTTATTATAAATCATACAAATTGATGAACAAAACTCTTTTTAAAAATCCTAATATTTAGTTTGTGATTTTAAACTAAACGTAAAAATCGTATTAATGATCAGGATTTTGGTTTTAGCACATTTTGTTCCAAATAAAAAAATAAATAAGTAAATAAATAAGTAAATACATAAATAAATAAATGAATAAATAAATAAATAAATAAATAAATAAAAGAGAATGTTAAAGATTTTTAAGACGTTCTCTGGGACACACCCATTAAGTTCTGTAGATTTTTGCCAACAATACCTCGCCATCATCTTTTTCTATAGCAAGCCATCTATCGTTGAAGAACTGATACTTTTGTTTAGTTTGCAGATCTCGGATAATAATAGCTCCCAGGAACCAAGAGGCATAATCTCCTATACCAGAGTTATCATGCCAAATCCGCAGAAAACTTAGATTCCCAAGAGGTCTGAAAAGTCAAATGATAACTTTCAAAAAAAAAAAAAATATTAAATTTTATGGACTTGGAACATACTGGCGTCATTTTCATAATGTCAAAGAAAGCAATTGAGCCTTTGTCACAAACACTGCTTTACTATAGTGATTTGAAAATTTGAGTTTGAGGCAAAAACTCAAATTGTTCGCATTTTGCGAAAATAAGGTTTGCTAATATCATGATGAAATAAGAAACATCAAAATTAACCAAAACCTAGTAAATAACGAAAATTTGGAAGTCCAATTCAAAATCCATAATTATTTTAAATTAAATTTGGCTTTAATATAGCAGTTATTTCATAATACAAAGCTAAAAACCTCATTTTTTAAATATAATTTAATATTACAATATACCAATACAACAATAAATATTTGATTATCAAATTGAATTTGATTTTTACCTTGAAACAGTCATGACAAAGCTATCTATCCCACCCCTTTCGAAATAATCATCTGGTCCGTTGGGAAACTGTCGAACATCTGTCTCATTTTTGTCTCCGTTCAGTACAAAATATACTTTAGATTTACAGGTGGATTCAGATTTAGCTCCTGAGAGTAGAAATGGGCATCGTTTTTTTGGAACGAACGAAATTTTTGAAAACGAGCGATATTTTTTTGTTCAGAAATAAAACGAACGATGGACAAACAAAATGGATCGTTCAGAGAAATAAAAAATTAAATTTTTTTTTAAAAGAACAACGAAAAAACAATTTAAAATAGTTCGGACGAACTTTAAAAACCATCATTTTTTATTGATGGAACGAACGAAAGGGGTTGTTCACGAACAATAAACGAGCAAAATGAAAAAGTGGAAGGTGCCCATCTCTACCTGTGAGAACCAATATTTCGTAGGCATATGTTTCCTCCGCATTGTTATCTGGCAGAGGCTTACACCCAACTCTCTGATTTATTAACCATTACTTTTGAGATTAACAACTTATAACAACATTATTTTTTGAATATTTTTGCTAACTTTCGTAATGAAGTATAGGGTGCAAAATAACAATCGCGTTTTGGCTTGGATTAGACCTTATATTTTACAAGATGAAGTGCCCGGCGTTGTCAGTGGAGAAAAAAATAGAATTTTGAGAAGAAAAAAAATTTTAATAAAAAAATACATTTTGATTTAAAAAATAAAATTATAAAAATGTCAAAATTTATTTTGTCTATGTTACAACCCCGGCACCCATGGGTTCCCTCAAAAAATGTCAGTCCATTTAGTCCAGCTGTTTGGCCAGCTATAGCTAACATATTAGCGAAGAACTTTATTAAATAGATTATGTTAACATTAAGGAACTGAACACGTCTCCCAATTTCTTATCCATATAATTGATCTTATATATAATATATCTTAGCTCTAATCTTTCATTTTTACAAGATGGGTGTTGTTCTTAATCCCCTGGTCTCTGATCCCCCCCAACTCCTGATCTGGGTTTCCCCTTACTATAGTTGTATGGTCTAACACCGTCATGAGTTTTATTTCAGAATATAGCATTCAAACAGCTTTGCTTTACCTTTTACTATTTTAAATAGAAGAAAATATTATTTGTAACAATATTTATATACATGAGCGAAGAGCTTCATTATAAAGACGATATAAACATTAAGGAACTGAACACGTTTTCCCATTGTGCATCAATTTTTAAGAATGGGTCGACTTTGACCTAACCTTACTTACTCACATATACATTTGTATTTGTGTGACCCTAGAAAAAAGTAATTAAGAAAATGCTGAAAGATATTTACTTGATAGGGTCCACGTTTTGGATCACCTGGAACCTAATATCTTAGACCACTCAAATTATGAGTATACTGCTATATGCTTTATAATGATATTTTTAAAGTAGAACTATAGTTAAAATGGTCAATATTTAAAATATAAAAACAGCACACTATAAGGTTGCAAAGATATATATGGATTAAAGTTTAAGGCAAATAATTTGTTCCGATTATCTGGGAAACGATATTATTGTAAATTTTTGAAAAACAAAATTTGTAAAATTTGTATTGCACCTAAAGGTTTAGATCGTTGGTGACACTTGTTAATTTTTTCGTTTCGTTTTTTATTTTTTTCTAAAAACGTTCGTTTCGTTTACAGAAAAAAAGATCGTTTCGTTTAAAAAAACGATCGTTTTGTTTTAAGAAAAAATCGATCGATTTTTGAAACGAACTACTCGTTTTGAACTTTGCAAAAAACAAAAAAACGTATTTTTAAATGACATCGTTTTAAAAAACGACCGGTCCGTTTTTCCATTTTTATTAATTTTTTTCAAACGAAATAATCGTTTTTCAAAAAGTAAAAACGATCCATCCTTATAGACACTCTATATCTGAAAAACTCGGAATTAAAGAAAGAAAAAAATAGCCTAATAAGAATGATTTTTTCCTGAACATCTGTGTAATCCACAAACCTAGCCACAATCAGAAACAGAAGATATGCTATACAAGTGATAAGGATCGTCGAGTAGATCGTTTCATTGTCAAAGAAATCCATTTCTTTCAGGATAAAATCGAAATCCATGGAGTTGGGTTGTACAAAAAATCCTGCGGCAAAAAGTGTCATATGTGCTGATACACAAACTGTTTGATTGTAGGTAGTTTCAACAACTTCCAGAGCTCGACCTAAAAACAAAAAAAAAACAAAATTAAAAAGAAACAAAAAAGAAAATATAGCAAGTACTTACCACTCCATATTTCAAATTTTTCATCCAAAAAGTAGCAGCCGGAGGTGTAAGTTCTCAGCTGTAAAAAAAGTAAAATTTTTAGAAAATCTCTAATTTTTCTTTAGGGGGGGGGAGCAGGGCTAAACGGCTAAATAAAAAAAAATGTGCGGGCAAAATCTTATATTTGTCTAGATTCAGTTCTTAATACAAAAATACAATTCTCACAAAAATATTAATACATTATTTGTATAAATAAAAAGGGAAAAGTGTCCTGAATATATATATCTACTTTTCTGTCTGTTTGTCTGTCCGTTTGTTTCCGATAAACTCTCATGATACCAAGGAATGTTAATGGATGCTCAAAATTACGAAAAGTCACCAACATTTTTTTTATTTTACTAAAATTTGGAAAATCCACAAAAAACAGTATTAAATCCGCGAACTTTATTCTTTTATAATGTACGCAGAGAAGATGCTCACATATAGAGCCACGATATATAAGCTGAAATAGAAGATGGGAGTGAAGCACCCTTAAAGCCTAGAGTAAATATAAAATAAGAATGTTTACCTTATAATCAGCCCTGAAATCAGAGATCTTGTCAGCGCTAAACTTCTTGTCTGCAATCTCTTGTACCGTGAGAGCTGATTTCAAATCCATGACTGTTAGAAACCAGCGACTTCCTGTTCTATTCTTGACCATCGCGTTATTCAAGAACCAATATCGAACCCCTAAATATGGTCAAACCCTTGAAATTGTGGAATAGGAAGACAAAAAATCCGCAAAGGAAACCTCAATTGAAATAAATCAAATTTAAGATGAAAAAACAATGATTTGTTAGATATTTATCGAAGGATCTTTTTAATTTGGCATAGTCACATTCCGTGAATATCTTTAACTTTTGGCTTGAGGGTGAGTTTTTGCGTCAGAAGTCCCCTCACAAAACAAAAATAGCAAAACCTGACCCATTTCTCTTGTATTTTACGTTTAATAAACAATTAATTATTCATAAACTACTCATTTGCATCACAAATATGCAGAAAATTATATTGGGTTGCTAAATGTATGATTCGATTTAAAGGGACTGTATGCTTAATTTCATGTGACCCTACATGCAAATATGGCAATGCCCAATTCACATCGGTACCCCTAAAACTTTGGTTTCACATTCTTAAATTTGATATTAATGTTTATAAATTTTAAAACTGATCATTTTTATTAGTGATATCTATACAAAATGAATTGCGCATTTTTACTGCAGTAACACATTTGGGAATTATTAGAACACTTTAAATTCTATAAATACGACAATTTGTTCACAGTATTTATCAGCCAAAGGGTTCAAGGGTACCGTTTTGAATCGGACCATCTTTGCATTGAGGGTGACTTGAAATTACACGTGCAGTTCCTTTCTTGAAGAAATAATCTCTTTTTTGTTAAATACCTACCTATCTAATAATCTCTATTGTAAAATGCCTACCTATCTAATAATACTTATTGTAAAATGCCTACCTATCTAATAATCTATATTGGAAAATGCCTACCTATCTAATAATCTCTATTGTAAAATACCTACCTTTCTAATAATCTCTATTGTAAAATGCCTACCTATCTGATGATCTCTATTGTAAAATGCCTACCTATCTAATAATCTATATTGTAAAATGCCTACCTATCTAATATTCTCTATTGTAAAATGCCTACCTATCTAATAATCTCTATTGTAAAATGCCTACCTATCTCTGTAAAATTGAGATCTTTAACAGGAGTTGTGAATTCGAAGCTGTTATAGGTTGGAATCTTTTCATGACTAAATAAAAAAAGATGACACAGTTAACTGTTAAACTTCAGTACTTCGAAGACATTGAAAAAATTTACAAAATGTCGTCTTGATAATTTTCAATGGTTTTTTTTTATTATTATACCTAAATCTTCACAATTGTAAAAATTAATAAATACCCGCCATCAATACGTAGAAACAGTTTTAAAGAGCTCCATATAATTATTCAGTTAAAAAACAAAGAAATATATGCAGAATTCCATTATGAGTAATTGTTAAGAATACGACATTTTATAAATTCTTTCGATGGCTCCGAGGTACTGGGTTTAACTGAATTCATTTCCTTTACTAAGAATTAAGTTAAATTAGGATGGCCGAACTTGTGTTTGTTGATTTTTGATTTTCGCGAAAAAAAAATATTTACCATCCAAACTAAATACATGTATTTCCCAGTCATAATTTCATAATTGGAATACCAGGCGGATAGGCGAAAATCACTTTTTAATATCGCACTTTTTATGAAATATTGAAATATAGACAATCATATGGGGAGTATTTAATTTAGCCAGTATGGTACGAGAATAGGGTCGAACCGGTACGAATTTAGTAGAGCTTTCATAAACCCTAACATTCAGAAATGCAATTTTTTCTTCTTTTTTTAGAAATGTAAAACTCTTTTTTTTTTTACCTGATAAATAGAGTTAAATTATGATCCTTTTCAACATCTATTGGATCTATCTCAATCGTAATGGTTGAATCTGCTTTAGGAACCGGAACTAGATGAGAAAGAGGCCGGATACGACGAGATTTTGATTCAACCTTGGCTTTGATCAGTGTCATGTTTCTTATAGTTTGATGGGTTGAAATCTTTCTGGGAATTGTGAATCTTATACCGGGAGTTCCTGAAAACCATATAGATAATAACATATACAGATAGAACACTTGATCTTCTCTTTTCAAGATTTAGGGGTTTTTCGTTCACAATTTAACCCGGAGGCAGAGACCCAGAGTTATACGCCAAGCACTCTTTCTGTCTTGTAATTCAACGCTGTCTGCGCGGAACTCCTATGGGCCTCTGACTCAGGGCTTTTGTGAACGAAATTTATGAAATTGTATTTGTATTTTTCAAAAATTTCGATGTTTTTTTTTCAAAAAAGGTCGTAATAAGGTGTGTCGAGATATCCGATAAAAAAGGTGACAAGTGTCTCAAGCTTTCAAAAATTTACATACAGGGTGTCTCACGAAACATGAAAGTAGAAGACGAAATGAATGTCGTCTTCCATCATCAAAACCATTTACGACATTTATTCTTAAACTAGATTTTAGAAGTTTAACTTTAGAATTAATAATTTCAAAATAACACTGGTCTTGGCATTTCTTAAATGTGGTCTGCCTTGTTTGTGCTTTTCATATTACCGGAAATATGAGCATTTCATTCAGATTTCGACAGTTTTGTTTTTATTTAATAAAATTGAAATCAAAACTAAATTGTTAATATCTGCACTAATATTGACAGCACGAAAAAGGCAGACCACACTTTGGAAATGCTGGACTGGGCAAATTTTGTGATTATTGTTTCAAGGATCACACATGTGTGAATACAAATTGACGAGGTCACAAATAAACTCTGAATTTGAAAAGGACATTGAATTCGTCTTGCTTCTGACATGTTTCGTGGGACACCCTGTATTTTTATTCTTTAATGCATAAAAATGACAACTTTAAAATTCATGACGCTCCCTGGGGGAAGGGGGCGTCAAAATTTACACACAGCCAGGCTTGTTTCTAAACATTTTCGAAATTTATTTAAAAATATATGCAGCACGCACCACTGACCCTGTAGTAAAAGTAAATTCAACCCAAAGTCTGACCGCGTCAACCTTGTTGACCTGGTTAGTCCTAGTGATACAGTACAAACTGGGACGGAAAGGTTGACCCGGCTCGGAAATTCAAATTTACTACGGCTGCCCATGGCAGTTGAGTTTAGAAACGTACCTGAGAAAGGAGGGTCATATATTTCTGAGACTTCAGCGCTTTGATGATTTTTATCTGACAGTTTGCAATCCAATACTAGTGTATCTGGCGCCAGACGATCAGAAAACAACCCATCAGGCTAAACAAATAGTTTTCTTTGATGGAACTATTAGGACTTGTCATCGTCTTGTGCCGTTAGTTTTTAAACATTCGAGTTTTTTAGCTTTAAAAGTACATCACAAAGCAGAATTCCATTCCTCTAGAGTTTGTGTTTTTATAATTTTTTTACAGTATTTTTTCTGTGACCAGACATATTAATCAAAAATATTTTTCAAATCGATTTATCAACTTTTTTTGAAAAATCTTTTGATTAGTATCTTTGGTCAATGTAAAGAATTTGCATAATGTAATGAAAGCAAACTTGTGAAGCACACAATTTTAAGTTTTTTAAATTTTTAAATGGGTTAAATATCTTGGATTCTTGTTAAGCCTACAGTCTATAGATGCACGTTTAGATGGAATTTTTTTGATTTAAAAGAAATATTTACCCTTGGGTTTTTGTAATAAACAACTGCAGATATTCCTACCGGGGCCTCACATGTGTTATTTATTTGTACCTCCAAACAAAACTAAAAATAAAGTAATAACTTGTTATCCAAAAGCAGAGGTTTTTACACTTTTCAGAAATTTCTAAAATAAATCGAGTTGAGAAAAAAGTCTTAATCGGACTATTGCATACTTTTATACGCTCCTTGCAACTGTAAAATGTGTTTAAATTTAGAATGCTTATTTTTTGAAAATTATTTAATCAATTATTAAAAATTAATTATTATGAACAGTTGATTTCAACAAATACCGATTAGAACAAAAATTATTAAATATTATATTTTCAATTAGCTCATATTAAATTTGCTTTTGTGTTTGTTTTTATCTGGACCATCATACGTTATTATTTTTATTTTGTGTTTAAACATAAATATTAAAACTATAATTATAAATATTAAAATGAAAACTACCGTATCTGGCAGTTTGATAAAAACTCCTGTCTGTGGAACTTCAAACTCTTTTTTAGCATCCTCGCCCGATACAAGCTTTGTCAGAATCTTAAGAAATAAAACATTTTTATTTAAAGGTTTTTACACACTTTTTCGTCTAATTTTCTATAAGCTGTAAGCGAATATTCTTAATTGATTCTTAATTTGTAGAGTGTCAGATGTCCAGTTTACATCGGTACCCATAAAACCTTCGTTTGATAAAGAAAGAGGAAGCTACCATCATTTTTCTACCCAGGAAAATGTTAAATTAGTACGATTACCCCTTTTCTGCTCTAAGTCTCATTCAAAACCAACCATAATTCAAATTTATCCATTTCAACCAAAACAAACAAGGATCAATCAGCTTTGATCCGTTACAGGTCTAGGGTACCGTTCAGGAAATGGACATGTGACACTTCAACTGCAGGGTTGCTTGAAATCTGTGCAACAATATTTGTTTTAAGTATTATCAAGTTTTATTAAAATACCTTAATATTCTTTGTATCAATGTTGAACTCTTCTCCAATTATACTTTTACTCAATAGAAGTTTAGATAAATCATCAATCATATCAGTGATCTTACTTCCAGATGTATCACCTAGAAATTTACTCATCTGAAGCTAATATCTTGTGATTTTTATCAAAATTGATAAAAAGGTTAGATGACTGCGTCAAAATATGATGTATGTTATACGTTGCTTGTTTCCTGAACCATCCGATGTATGTTGTATTATTCATAAGTGATAATTTAAGTCGCATAATGAATGGTGAAGCATGTTTCACGATGAATGATGGATGTTACAGGATACATCATGCATGAAGTTTGGAAGCGATGAAAGATACATGATGAATTATGGATGTTACAGCATACATCATGCATGAAGTATAGAAGAGGTGCATGATACATGATGAATGATGGATGTTACAGGATACATTATGCATTAAATATAGAAGCGGTGCATGATACATGATGAATGATGGATGTTACATGATACATAATGCATGCAGTATGGAAGCGGTGCATGATACATGATACATGATGGATGTTAAAAGCATGCATAATTCATAAATTATGGATAAGCAATGCATGATACATGATCAATGATGCTTGATACATTTTTAATGATAAAACCTGCAGTTGAGGTTGCAGCTGCTAATCCTTTACACTGCTGGGCTTTTAGATCCTCAGGAATGGTCATCGTTACTGAAATCAAATGTTTAAAAGTATATTTGAAAATTTTCATTTTGAGGTTTTTTAAGAAAATATTTTAAAATATGCTCTTCAAGTTTTCATACTTAACAAAAATTGTGTCTGTTTAAACTGCACAATTTCTGTGACTCTTATTCATTGGAATATTCAAAGTCATAACGTAGGTATGAAAGTCGTCTTTATATTCCAGAGTTGAAAGTCGTCTTTATATTCCAGAGTTGTCTGGTTATATAATGTCCTTCTCAACTTTACATTTGATTAAATAGAATTACTCACAATCGTCTCCAACTTCAGTTTCATAATCAGTTCCAGGCTTGTTCGCGTTCGCCTTATCAACTGGAGATATTTTCTCACAGAGTGCACTAGCTGATTCATTCTTAGTAGCTCCATCTTCAGGTTCAACTTTATCAGGCATCAGAATACTCATCACCTTCCCGATATTATCTAGAATAATTCTAATTTAAAATCTTATCTTATATATATCAACTTTGCTTGGGTGTCTGTTTGTCTATTTGTAATCGATAAACGTAAAAACGGCTGAACCGATTAAGCCCAATTTTTGTGTGAGACCTCACATGACCCCATGGCAGGTTCATTTAAACATCAAAATTGGAGAACAAATTTCTAAGATAATAGTTGGATTTTTTTGATATTTTAATATAAATGCGCCATGATTCGAAAAACTTCGCCAAAATATGAAAATGATTCAAAATTGCCAACTTTCAGAGAACCAGTTGAAAACTAAAATTATTTACAGGAAAAGGGGCTCGAGCGCCTTAAAAGCCATATCCTTTAAAAACGTGTAAAATCTACTTCTTCCAAACGAAGGCAGAGGCTATAGAGTTTTACCAATTTTTCACCATAGAAATCTATGTATGAATTTAATGAACGAGGGATAGAGTACATCTAGATCTTCCTGCTTCTACTACACTAACAATAATCAAAAAAAAATTTTACTTTCAATGCTGTAAAGCTTTGGAAAATATTATAATTTATAACTTAAAAAATATTTAATGACAGTTATAAAATTTTATTTTTCTCAATGGATTTCAAACACCATTTGACATCATTAATTAATTAAAACTTTTATAATGTTCTTATTGACCTTTTACCGAAGATATTAATCAAAACGCATTTTGATAAAACGTTCTGAAAAAAAATTCTTTTGGTTAATATCAATGATCAGAGAACATAAATAATATAAATGATAAATTATCTGGAATACAATTTTGCAATATGAAAAATTACTCACATTCTTGTGTGGAGAACTTTTAGCGTCAAATTACCCCAAATTAAATGTTTTATAACGGACCTCAACCTTACTATTCTTACCAACAACTGATATAGCCATTGGTTTAAGTAACTCCGGTGTAGAGATATCCATCAAGCTCAGAGATTCAACCAGACCCTTTAAATATCAATTGATAAATTCTTAGCAAGGACTGCTTGACCCACCTCCCCCCTTCTTTACCAAAGCGCAAGCTCGATAATATATATATCTATCCCAACCGTACCTAACCTGGAAAATTGTGTGCTTTTTCAAAGGACAAAACACAATTAAATCAAAATTTTAGGAACCGAACGCATTTAGCTATGCACTTAGTCCAAGCTGGGGGGGAGGGAAATGGGGGAGACAAGGAAAGAGAGTTGACAGAGAGGCACTTTGTAGTTTAAAGTATTTCCTCTGAGTGACAGAGAGGCACTTTGCAGTTTAAAGTATTACCTCCGATATAGAAACAACTTTTGTGACGACCTCGAGGCCGAGAGTTGAAGGTTTTCCATCTTCTGGAGGTGCACCGAGAATATTGGATAGAGTCTGGGATACAGCTGATAAACTTTGCGGCGAGGTTGCAACCGTAGCACCGTTTGATACCAAGGAATCCATCGCCTCGATCTTTTTCTATATGAAAAAAGTGTTAATAAAGAAATTAAGAATGCATGAATTAGTATGATTTAAAATTATCATTTCATAATTTATTACAATAGAACTAAGTTTTCCTATCGTTGATAAAGATCTAACACAATTCAAAGTTCGAATATTATCAATAGAGATTAGAAATTCAGAGTTTGTTTCATTTCATTTTTCTACTTTACAAACAAAATACGAGTCAATCTGGAAAGGGAAAAGAACTAAAGACAGCGAAAGAAACGAATAAGAATGCAAAAAAATACATGTCAACATATTTGTATTTCGACAACAAATTCTATGTACATGTAATAAATATATTTCACTAGAAAGGATCATTCATTAGGCGTACCGTCCCAGTTTGCCCTACAAAGTCTGTAATTGTACTGTACAGTCTGCTCTTGCTGGTTAAAATTGAGCCAAATACTTGATTTGAACAAACGTTTACAGTTTAAACCATATTGATTAATATTATGATTCCTAAAATATTTAAAGAAATAGATATAATCTGTTTAAACTTTACCTGACCAATTGTTGCTGAAACTAACTCTTGTTTCTGCTCAGGAGAGAGATTCATATTTGCAGGTGTATCTTCCACTAAAATATGTTATTTTATGTCCTTTATATTATCTGCAAATATATCTTCCACTAAAATATTTTATTTTATATCCTTCATATTGTCAGGTGTATCTTCCACTAAAATATGTTATTTTATATCCTTTATATTATCAGATATATCTTCCACTAAAATATGTTATTTCATATCCTTTAAATTATCAGATATATCTTCCACTAAAATATGTTATTTTATATCCTTTATATTATCAGATATATCTTCCACTAAAATATGTTATTTCATATCCTTTATATTATCAGATATATCTTCTACTAAAATATGTTATTTTATATCCTTTATATTATCAGATATATCTTCCACTAAAATATGTTATTTCATATCCTTTATATTATCAGATATATGTTTCACTAAAATATGTTATTTTATATCCTTCATATTTACAACCTTCTCATAATCTTTTCTTTTTCAAAAATGTTTTTAAGAAATCACTTGTATAGTCAAACTTTCTAAAAATACAGTAAAAATCTTTAAAAATGTTTTTTAAAAAAATCTTACAAACAACATTGCTTTCGTCAGAAAGAATCGCCATTTTTGCATTTAAAATTGCCATCACCAAAGAACTGTCTTGAGAAGCCTAAAAGTAAAAATAACAATTATATGAAATTTTCTATTCTACTTTGCCAATTCCTCCCTGTCTGTTCTTATATTGGGTTATCATGATATTTTACACACCAAGTATTTTGTACTGCAAACATCGGATAGGAATAAAGGTATATCTAATCTGTTTACAAACAATTAATTATAGAAGTTATTTTAGTATTTTTTTTTAATATCTGCAGTGAACACTTTTTTATCTTTGATACCTATAGTGTAAATATTTTATATTTTAAACTTAAATTTTTTATCTAGAATTATTTCATAGTTAGATTAAAAGGTCCACAGACACCCTGCTGCAAAAAATTAAGGTTTAAAAATTCAAATCAGTGGTGAGTTCCGTTTCTTTAAATAACGTATTCAATATATATATATATATACTAGCCTTAGAGGGCCCTTCGCGCCCATCTTCTAAATTAATTGTGAACATGTTCTCTTTGTGTACATCGTAAAACAAAACAAAAATAGTTTGCGGATTTTCACAAAAAAATTCGTGGATTTTCAAAATTTTCAAAAAATTAATGAAGATCGAATTTTGATGAAGACAAATATTTGAAATTTTGATCATTCATAAACCTTCCCTGGGGCCCCGTGAGGTCCCACAAAAAATTTGGGCCCGATCGGTTCAGCCGTTTTGACGTTTATTGGATACAAACAGACAGACAAGCCAAAATTATATATAGATATATATATAAGAATTGTAATCGTAATTTCAAGTGACTCTCAATGCAAAGATTACAATGACTGATTCGCAACGGTACCTTTGAAAACTTTTTCTGATCAATAACATAGAAGAAATTGTCGCTTTTCTGGATTTAAAAGTGTTTAATTCTGATAATCCATTATGTGTTCCTGCAGCAATATAAGTCAATAAAAGTCAATTTTGTTGAGAACCCGCAATAGTAAATAAATAGTTTTCAAAATGGTAACATTGATATCTAATTTATCCTTAATCAGACAACGCTTGTAAATCGGGCATTGCCATATCTTTGCCTGGAGGTTCACAACACTTGAAATTACGCTTGCACTCCCTTTAAGAACGAATATTACCATTGCTTGATCCATGACGCCTGAAGTTTCCAGCTCAAGAAGCTGAGCAGGGGTTGGGACTTTAACTTCAACCAATCCAGGAATAATATATTCTGTAGAAGCTGCCCAGACATCATTTATCACAACTTTAAAATTAAACTTCCCAGGAGACAGTCTGAACAAATAATCACATATGAAAGTTGCTGTCATGAGTTTTAGGGTCTAAATCTATGTATAGCCTGACCTTAGTGTAAAGATAGGTTTGAAACCTATATTCATTATTGCTCAATTTTTCAAATTAGATCTCTAAATTTAATAGATCGGGTGCTATAGAGGTTTAAAAAAAGGTTCGAAAAATCAATAAAAAATATGTTGCTTTTGATAAATGTTACGACGTGACACAACTTTGTACATTCGTTTTTCAAAGGCTTTCAAAACTGTGGTTTTAATAAAAAAAATTATGCCCTATTTAAAATTGTCTAAAACACCAACCCTATATGCATTAAATATTTGTTTGCAAAAAATCCTTTAAGTTTTGAGACGATTATGTCAAGAATGAGAGTGCAAGGGCGAAAAAACTAGAGGGGGTCACCAAAAAAACCCCCCCCCCCACCACAGCTTGTTTATGTTTACTGAAATACCTGAGTAATGTTGGGACATCAGGAGAAAATCTGGCCAAGCTGACAACTGTTGCCTGTTTTCCATTGGCGTCAGTACCTTTAAAGGGACAGACCGGCTATGTAAGGTAGTTGAGCTGAACATGCAGTGTTGTGGAAAGCTTCTTTAGGATTCATTTGAGACATAAAAAACTGTTTAAAGATCTGTACATCCTGAGTTTGAATGCAAAGTCGACGTTCAAAACTCCTACTTTAGGGGTGGATACGTTTTCAGAATCGTTTTTTTTATTATTAAATGACGACGACAAAAAATGTAAACAAAACTCTACAGTAAACTAATTAGTTATTTAGGAACCGGTTGAGGAAATGAAAATTTATCTTATCATCAAAAATAAGTAATCTTGTTCAATTATTAGTTTCTATTTTCTCATTATTCTAGTTTCTCATTATTCACGAAGATTATCTGCAGATTTTCTGGAATTATTATTGGAAAGACGACATTTGAAGAATTTGAAGAAATTTGCTAATAAGTTCAAAGAAAACAAGAAATTCAATGTAATGATGAAAACGTAATAATTGATTCTAACATTGATTTCTTGACAAATTTCTTTTAAGAAATATGTTCCTAACCATCTAATTAGATTACTGTATGATTTTTACTTTATTTTTCGTCGTCGTTTTTAGTAATTTAAAAAAAACGATTCTGAAAACGTATCCACCACCAAAGTAGGAGTTTTAAACGTCGAATTTGCGCTCAAACTCGAAATTTACAGATCTTTAAAAAGTTTAATATGTCTCAAATAAGTCCTACAGAAGCTTTCCACAACACTGCATACTCAGTTCAACTTCCTTACATAGCCGGTCTTTCCCTTTAAAGGGACTGTAAGCGTAATTTTAGTGACCCTCTGCCTGCAAAGACAGCAATGTCCAATTTACCACAAAATGTGAAAGATAAAGTCAGTTGTCAGTGTTTGCGATAGTTTCTCCACTGTTTCTTGATAACAAGACATTTTTAAATTACTTTTGCACAGAAACCACAAATAAAAAAAAACCCAGTTTAAGAAATAAACATGAAAATCTAGTTCTTGCTTGATTAGACAAGGAATTTAAGGGTACACGAGCTAAAAATCGGCCATTGCCATATTTGTATGGAGGGTCACTTATAATTATGCTTTATATAGTCAATTAATACAGATTATAAAAGGAACCAAATGGAATTTAAATATTTTGCCTTTTTTTTACTTTTTTCAATGACAATAATAAATCAAAAGACGAAAATTATCCTTCAAATCGTCACTTCTCAGGAATTTTAGATCGTCATTTAAGTCTCGTCTTGGATCTTTGACAATGTGTACCAAATAAGCGTGCTCGTGACTTTCTAATTTTTCATGTGGTAAAACAGTAAAGTTCAAGTCTTTTGTCATAAAGATAGCTCACAAGGCTGAACTACGATCTTCTTCTATTCCCCCTGTTGTACATAAGATGAACGTGGGACCCATTAAAGATGAAATAGACCGTATATGCGTATTTCATGGTGTTAAACAACAAATAGTTTTACTACAGAAGTAGGCGATTTTATCAATATAATAAAGACGACTTTTAATTTTAATTTTGATTTATATTAGGCTTTTAAACAGCATGGATACACAAAAACATCGAGACAGAGAGAAGCTGTCAATTGAATAAGCTTTTCTTTAATTGCTTGTAAACTTGTAATTCGAAAAAAGCTTGTTAACAATTAAAACTTAAATAAAAAGTCGTCTTCATTTTATTGCTATAATCGCCTACCTTGTTATAATAACTTAAACATCTCACAAGTGAATTGTAAATAACAAAAATTCTGTACTTATTTGTTCATTGGACTATTTGAAATATTAATTTGAGTAAATAATAGTCATACTTCTATTCTACAGTTGCATAGGTCTCATTGTACTTAAAATACTTACTAAAAAGAGTATATTTAGCAATCCCTATATCCTCAGGATCAATCCATCCAGAGCAAACAAACTCAGACTCATCGACCAAACTAAAATACAAGACTTTTAAAGGGACTGTAAGCTTAATTTTAAGAGACACTTCAGGTTAATTAGGTAATACCAGAGTAACAAGAGTACCCTTAAAGTCTTTATCTAAACATCAATGGGGAAGATATAGTCGGTTTTCTAGGTGTTTAGTGCTATAATTTCTATGCGGATTTCTGCATTAGAAATGCGCAGTTCACTTCTGAAATGAAGCCACAGTTGAAACCCAATACCTTTTTAAACAATGCAAGGTTTTCCATTTTTGTTCATTTAACCAATTGGAATCTTGAACGCGTTTTGGAACAGAACCAAAATTGTTTTATTTTTAAATTTATTTTGTTAATCGTATATGGCACCTGGTAATATCAGAGAGTGAAACATCCTCTGGAGGTATAACAAGGCAGGACCCACCTTGAGGAGGCTTATTAACCTTCAGCTTTAAACCAATCATCCCTGATCAATTATAATCAATCAAAAAATATAAAATTAATAAAAATAAATAATTTTAAAAATCGATATGTAAGCTTAGCAAGCTTTTAACAATTCATTAATCCCTCAAATTATCAGTAAGCCAACAATAAAAAAATGTGATTAAGAAATTTGTCATTAAATTTAAAAATAAATGTCAAATCAGTAGTATTATAAATCAAGGTGTTGGGGATAGTTTAAATAATAATAAAAATCGCAGTCAACCCCTATCCTATAAGGAATATGAGCTCCCTTCTCAGAATATATATACTATAGAATAACAGGTGGCACCTGTATTGTAAACATATATTGGTTTGACATTGTGTACATGTAGTACACTGTTCTTGGGGGGATTTGTTTTGGTCAGTTACATGATTTCTCAGTGTAAACAAGCATGAGATATTGTTCAGTGCTAAATTGTAACACGGATCAAATATATAAGATAAGATTTCATTCTTTTCTTAAAGATGAAAAGTAAAAAAAACGTGGAGTAACTTCACAGGAAATTCAGGTTTCTGGACTCCGGGAAAATGTAGTGTTTTCTATTTGAAACAGTTTTCAAAATACATGTTTGATTAATTGAAATAAAGATAAAAAGATAACACGAAAAAGTTCGGAAAGTTAATCTTCAACATCCCCCAAGGTTACTGAACATCTGGACATTTATGTATTGTACTGCATAACCTCCACAGTCCAACACTTCCCAAACCAAATGCTGCCACCTGTTATTCTCAATCTCTAGACTGAAGAGCTGAGTGTAAATTCATTACAAAGTAAAGGATTGGTGGGGGGGGGATGTTCCCCTCCCCGATACCTCCCCATTGTGTGGGGGGGTGGTCCCCTCCCCAATCCTTTCCCCCCATCTGCGTTCTTAGCCTATATACCTGTTGTGTTAAGATTATTCACTCCTTTTAGTTCTATAATATATTCATCTCTAGGAAAGTCCTGGAACATTTTAACCAGCATACCGAGATCAGAAGTACACTTCTGAACATCCCCAACCATAGAGCATCCGAGGAAGTATAAACTGTTCGTCATAGCGGTCAAGGGAGCCAATGTTGTTGGGTCTTTCACAACCCAGTTGTAGGTCAAAGGACCAGTGCAGTCAGATCCCTAAATGAAAAAAAAAGATAAAAAACTATTTTAGGAATTCTTAAAGAACTGATTTAAGAACTGATTTAAGAACTGATTTAAGATCTGATTTAAGAACCGAAATTTAAGAACTGATTTAAGAACTGATTTAAGAACTGATTTAAGAACTGATTTAAGAACTGATTTAAGAACTGATTTAAGAACGGATTTAAGAACTGATTTAAGAACTGTAAGAACTGATTAAAAAAACTGATTTCAGGATGATTAAAAAAGCTGATTTAAAGGCAATATAAGCGTAAGGAGACCCTCTAAGCAAAGACGACATTGTCCAATTAACAATAGTATCCTTGAATCTGATCAATAATGTGATAATTCCTACTGCCTGCAGTAGGGTACCGTTGTGAATTGGTTTCAATCTTTGAATCTACCTGTTTATTACTGCATGATGCCCTGAGTCCTAATCTTGAAGTAGGATTTATAAAAACTTGTCCGGTGGAGGCCTGGAGTGGACACAAACTGAAGAAAAGATATTTTTTACTTTAAACCATATGTGGAAAATGTGCAAACTAGATGTTTAAAAGAACAAAGGAACTGTTTACTTGGTTAACCTTTAAGTTACTATATGTTTGCAACCTGATTTTGGGATTTTTGATCCAGCAGAAATTAAAATTAAATTCCTTTGCAATAAATTAGCTAACTATACTTTTTTTGATTTCATGATGATTTTTGCAAACAAATGATTGAAACCTTGTATTCATATTGGCTTTCAGTTTTAAAAAAAACCCTAGTTTGGAAACATTAATATTTTTATTTTTAAGGGTTCAGCACAATTTTTCATAAAATAACTTTACTTGCAGTATATTTTTTAATGCAAAAATTCTAAAAAAATGGAAAAAATGCTTGATCTAGATTTGTTAAATTACCAACCTTGGTTCTGCACAAGCTATTTCCAGGACAGGGGGAACCCCCGCCACAGTTGTCAACAACAGTTTAGAGGTTGAATTCCTTACATCTGAAAACAAACATCAATTCATTCAAATTGACATGAGCAGGAAACTGTTGTGTTTGGATACCATTAATACTGATCGCTCAATCAAGATATTTACCGTGGACACTTTTGATTTTCTGCTTTTTCCTCTCTTTTTAAATATTTCTACTGTGTTTTGACCAATGCGATTGCGGGAAAGTTAATAAAATGTATTTACCAATGAGAGCTTTAATCATAAATTTTAACCAATGGTTTATTTGTTTTCGTGAACAACACACATATCTTTATAAAAAGCGTTTTTTTGGTAAACAATCTTCATTGAATCCCACTAATCTATTAACTTTAGTTTGAAGGTCTAATGTTAAATCCAGCTCTTTCTAAGGGAATATCATTTACTCTCAGCAAATTTAGAATTATTGGAAAGGAATTGAGTCTTTGTCACAAACTCAAATTTTCTAATTCCTATATTTTTTCAACCTGATAGTTAAAACCTTTGATATTTCAAACTCAGATTTTGTGATATGACATAATTTATAATAGTTTGAAATATCTAAGGTCTGCTTCATTGGGTTGTAAATATATAGGGATTATAAAAGTAGAGTTTGTGGCAAAGACTCAATTCCTTTAAAGGGACTGTAAATGTAAGAGAATTTCAAGTTACTCTCCATTTTCATGCAAAGATGGTAATGGATTTACAACGGTAGCCTTGGAAGTTTTGTATCTTGAAGTTTTAATTAGATATCAATGTAGATATAAGAAACAATGGAGAAACTAACAGAACTAGATACTTTTTGAGTCAGAAAAAATACTTTTGATCAACACTTTCAATCAGATTAAAGTTTAATCAGATTAAAGTTTCAAGCTTCTTAAATCGGGCATTGCCATATTTGCATGGAGGGTTACTTGAAATAGTTTGTACAGTCCCTTAAAATAGTTTGTACAGTTCCTTAAAATAGTTTGTACAGTCCCTTAAAATAGTTTGTACAGTCCCTTAAAATAGTTTGTACAGTCCCTTAAAATAGTTTGTACAGTCCCTTAAAATAGTTTGTAAGTCCCTTAAAATAGTTTGTAAGTCCCTTAAAATAGTTTGTAAGTCCCTTAAAATAGTTTGTAAGTCCCTTAAAATAGTTTGTACAGTCCCTTAAAATGGGACTTAATGATAAACCCTTGGGTTACACCCTCGGGATTATCAATCAATCAATCAATCAATCAATCAATCGGGGTTTTAATTTTCATTGGTTCTAATCTTTCTGAGAGTTTCAAGTTAAATTTACTTATAAAGGTAATTTTAAATACGTAAATCCAAAAATTTTATTATTAACAATTAATAAAGACTTAAATCAAAGAGTAAAGTCCATCCCGAATGCAAATTTGGATTTTTTTCAGATCAAATAAAAAATTTACTTTATTTTATAACCTTAATGATTAAGAAAATCTCAATTTGTAAACCAAATCATATTATTTTAATTATTTTGAATAATTACCTTTCATTAAAATTAACATAAATTCATAATTCTTTCCAGCCTGCACGAAAACCCCAGTTGGTACAGAGAGTATTCCTTCTTTTACATCAAGCGGTCCTAAAGAAATACATGGTTATCCACTCATGATGAAACTGCAAAGACGACCTGACACGTATATAATATGATGATTTCATGAAGTCTTCTTCATTTGATATAGTTTTTTATGGCTTTTTGATTAATTTGACAATGACTGAACACATTTTAAAGTTTCAGGACATGTAAATTATTTTAATTTTTTGCACACAAATGTTACTTTATAAATATACAATACAAATATTCATAATAATAGTTTATGCGCGCATTATTATTAAAAAATTATGGTAAATGATTTGCTAAAATGTCGTAAAATTGTATTTTTATATTTTCATATTTTATATTTGCATAAAAATATTTTTTTACCAGCGAATGTACCCTACCCCTAGTCCCCTCTACCTGTAGTAAACACCTTACTCCATAACAGCTCTTCAGATCCGTATCTATCCTGGTACAAACTCAATCTCATTTTGCTATCAATGTCAAACCGGACACGATCTCATAAACTATTGTTGCCAAACCACTGGGCACAATCTCAAATATTCTATAAATGGCAAACCACTGGGCACGAGATCTCAATTGTTTTATCAATGCCAAACCACTGGGCACGATCTCAGAGACTATCAATGCCAAACTCTGGGCATGAATACGATCCCAACTATTTTATCAATGCCAGACAGCTGGGCACAATCTAAATTGTTCTATCAATGCCAAACCACTGAGCGCGATCTCAGAGTGTATTGATGTCAATCACTTGGCACCATCTCAACTATTTTATCAATGCCAATCACTGGGCATGATCTAAACTGTTCTATCAATGCAAAACCACTGAGCGCGATCTCAGAGTGTATTGATGTCAATCACTGGTCACGATCTCAACTATTCTATCATTGCCAGACCACTGGGCATGATCTAAACTGTTCTATTAATGCGAAACCACTGGGCATGTTCTCAGAGAGTATGATGCTTATCACTGGGCACGATCTCAGAGAGTATGATGCTAATCACTGGGTCCCATCTCAACCATTTTATCAATGTCAGACCACTGGGCACAATCTCAAATGTTCTATAAATGTGCTGGGCACGAGATCTAAACTGATCTATCAATGCCAAACCACTGGGGACGATCTCATAAACTATCGTTGCCAAACCACTGGGCACAATCTCAAATAATCTATCGATGCCAAACCACTGGGCACGATCTCAGAGACTATCAATGCCTAACTCTGGGCACTAATATGATCCCAGCTATTTTATCAATGACAAACCACTGGGCATGATCTCAGAGACTATCGATGCCAATCACTGGGCACCATCTCAACTATTTTATCAATGCCAGACCATGATCTCAGAGACTATCGATGCCAATCACTGGGCACCATCTCAACTATTTTATCAATGCCAGACCACTGGACACGATCTCAAATGTTCTAAAAATTTCAAACCACTGGGCACGAGATCTCAACTGTTCTATCAATTCCAAACCACTGGGCAGGATCTCAGAGAGTATCGATGTCAAACACTGAGAACGATCTCAACGTTATTCTATCAATGCCAAACAACTGGGCAAGATGAAAACTCGTACACTAAACGAGTGATAATTACTTCTCTACTGTAATCAAAGTGGAGTATATTCCAACTAACTATATTTGGGATTTCTAGGTTACATCATTTTAATCGACGTAATTACAAGTTTTACGTCGATATATATATATATATACAACGTATTTAAGCTAATTATATTACTTAGCTATTTACAAAGTAGATACTTGATAATGTACAAAACCTTTGATATTTCAAACTTAGACTATTTGATCTACCAGAATTAATAGTTTGAAATATCAAAGGTCTAGGAAAACGGGTTGCTAAATTATAAGAATTAGAAAATCTAAGTTTGTGGCAAAAACTCNTGTACAACGTAATTCAGGTTTACAGATTATAGTGTTACACGATTTTTATTACATACCTTTAGTTAATATTCCTTGGTTTCCATTCATTCAAAATTTGCACATCTGACATTAACCAAATATTTAAACAATCCCTTTATTTGTAATTTACCTGGTCCATACCCAAAGCATCCTTTCTGAGTATTATTGGTAATGCTGGCTGGAGGTAGTTTCTGTGTGGGTACAGGATACCGGGTATTCCAGGATAGAGCTGACCCGTTCATTGGCCAGCTTTCAGACTCCTCACGACAATACCATCGGAACTCCATTCCATTAAATATAAACTACTAGTCTATAGTATGTTTTTTGTTCGTAGCAAAGATTATATCACATTTCAGGGATTTAAGGGGAGAGGGATTGTAATTTTGTGTTCCAAAATCTAACCGATATTTAGCCGCATCATGAAATCTTAAAAAATCAGATTTTTTAAAACGGCTCTTCGGCGTTGAGCATGCTTTTTAGAGGCAGCAGCCGCGGGTGGAAGCTTTAGAACATTATAATTCACTAGCTAAAGTGCCCGTAGGATTTTAGAAACACTTGAAAAATATTTCGAATTTTAAAAAAATCGATTTACGAAAAAAATTCATTTCTAAAATAAAATTTCGGTTTTTTTAACTAATGTTACTGGGGATACCACCCATAGGTTTCCTAAACAAATGTCAACCTATTACTTCCAGCTGTTTGGCCAGCTGTAAATGATATAATACCGCAACTAATTTCGGAATTAAAACAAGCTTCAAGTTGTCTTTACACGTACTGTCAAGTTTTGTCTGACACCCTGTTAATGTACTGCCACGTACTGTCAAGTTGCTGTACTGTCACGTACTGTCAAGTTACTGTACTGTCACGTACTGTCAAGGTGCTGTACTGTCACGTACTGTCAAGTTGCTGTACTGTCACGTACTGTCAAGTTGCTGTACTGTCACGTACTGTCAAGTTGCTGTACTTACTGTAAGTTCAGGAAAGTCCGGATCCATAGAGTACAGATAGGGCTCCATAGTCAATAACTGACCTTTTCCCCGGGATACTAAATACAATTTTTAAACAATAATTCATTCATTAGAAATTGACCAGTGGCAGTAGCAAAAACCATGAACTGTGCTTGTTAATGTTAACCCTATCCCTGCTGGGAACTTGAAAACCTGGATACGCGGGGGGCATCTAAATCCAATATTGATGTCCAAATATGTAAAGCCCTTATGCTCGAATGTAGAAAAATTTGCATATTTTAAAATTTTTTAATTTTTTTTGCAAAAACTCATGACAGGAATTAAGTCTTTCCCACAAACTCTGGTTTTCTAATTCTCACATATCTTAGTACCCAAATGTCGTCATTTTAAAACTTTAAATTTCTAATAGATCAAATAATCTAAGTTTGAAATATCAAAGGTAAACATCACCAGGTTGTAAAGATTTGTTAGTTTGTGGAAAAGACTCAATTCCTTTTAAATATTATTCATTTTATCAAAAAATGTGGACTGTAAGCATAATTTCAAGTGACCTTATAAGCAAAGAGGGCCAGCAATTTCTGAACCAGAGATAAGAGAGTTATGGAGATCGATTTTCAGCTAAAATAAGCTATATTTTCCACAGCATATTCTATTGTGTACAAGTACTGTACACGACCAATCAGCAAACATCTGTATTCTGGGATATTTAAGGATCCTTTGGATTCAAAACACAAAATCTTCAAAAAAAGATTGAATTCATAAATGTTATGTTTCATGTTTAAAATTGGAGTATTTCTTTAAAAGGTGCAAAAGTTAACCCCTGAATGGGTATTATGTTCAACAATTGTAACCGTGAGATGGAACTCCAAAAATCTATCGTAAAAACGTAGCATGTCATGCCGGGTCAACTTAGGCCTACGTAGCCCACCTTGTGATAGGAGATAAGCCAGTCTGTGTAGTCTGTGGTCTGAACTCATCACAACGCACACTTGAATTTCTAGTTGAACACAAAGAATTTAAGGGTACTGTTGTAAATCGGGCTGTGCCCTCTTTCCATGTAGGGCCACTTGAAATTACGCTTACAGTCCCTTTAAATTATTTAAAATATGTAGTATAAAGTGAAGTTGAACAAATATGATTTTGATAAAATGAAGATTACCGGTAGTCGGAGATCCCTTCATGATAATACTGACGAGAGGAGAAGGTCGAACTCTAATATATGTGAAGACTGTAGATTCGAAGGGTAGTGTTCGAGTCAAGCTCTCATCAAGTGGGCTTGTGTCCCACATCCTAAACATTCACTATAATCCTGCTCAACCACAAACTATACTGGGTACACTAGAGTAGACACATTATATTCCTCTATTATATGTGTTAGTTATATAAACATATGTTTTCCAGCATTAGAAATATTTTAAAACAAACAAATTTTTTTATTAAAGATTTGTTTGAGCAAACTAGCGATTTTACTGAACTAAGGATCTCACTGAACGAACATACGATTAAATTTAACAATCGTCCAGTTAGAAAACGAACAAAATTGTTGGAAAATGAACCATAATTTTGAATTTTTTTTGTCTAAATGACTGAAACAAAGATCAAAATAAGTCGTTAACGAAGAAACGAATTAATTAAAGCGCCCATTTCTATTCAGAATATAAATTGTATGTTTCATATGTATTGATATTTCTGGTCATTTCTAATATTGATTATAGAGAAAATTACACTAGTATAACTATCATATGTCTTTTTGTTTAGAGTGAGGTATATTCCTAGAGAACGATTTTTTGACCCCCCCCCGCCCCCCCTCCTATCAATTTTGTACATGGATCCATAGAAAGTGTCTTAACTTAACATAACCCGTGGCCGCAGTGCTCGGCCCCCTGGCCTATCCTAGCCGCAGCGCTCGGCCCAGAAAGTGTCTTAACTAACCTAATCCTGGGCTGCAGCGCTCGGCCCCTATTCTGTACTAGCCGAAGCGCTCTGCCCAAAAAGTGTCTTAACCTAACCTAACCCTAAATATTACTAAATAAATACTAATTTGGTCATGTAAAAATTGATAGGAGGGGGGGGGCGGTGGGGGCCAACAATCGTTCACTAGGACAGACCCTAGAATAATAAATTGGATTTTTTTGGTTATTTTCAATGAATAGATAAAAGGCAACAAGATAATGTGAATTAAAATACATTTCTCTAAAAATTATATAAATTCTTCTTAACTTTTTTCTTGGTAATTTTGTTTCTGTTTGACTACGTGTTTTTTGATCAAATTAATAGATAAATGAAAATATAATTTATATTCGTTGGTCCATTGTATTTTTTTTGCTTTAACTTACCTGGCTGTGTATGTTAGTTTGTAGAGTCCAAAGGGAAGAGTAAGTTTCGGAATCAGGATCTAGGATACAAAGGAATTGAGTCTTTTCCACAAGCTCTAGTTTTCTAGTACTTATTTATTTTCAACCTTAAGGTGTAAATTTTTTTTTTTTTAAATTATCAAAAAATTAATGGACAGTATTTATCGGCTTGAAATATATCTTCATATGCCCATATATATATTTTGAAGATTTTGTTTCAGTACTACATAGTGACATTTTTAATAATTATCTCTGTGAAGTTTTTAGAATATTTAGGTGCAGGTATATCACTAGGGCTCTAGCTTGATAAAGAAATCAAGCCATCCTACTTTTCAAGTTGTATAACTCGATCGTAATGTGTATTATATTTGTAACAGGATGGTTTATCGTGTATCTGTTTTTTTAACGATTCTTTCCGTTTGTTATTTGAAATATCTTCTAATTTCATAAACATCCATGCGTTCATGGAACTCTGAGCAATCTGTTTCCTTATGTCATAGGTTTTCCAAAAAGCTAAAATTTATCAAGATCTGACAACTGAAAGTAGGTCAAAACAAAATTTAGTTTGTTACAGAAAAAAGTGGGATCATTCAAGCAGTGTGCCTGAGGAATCATTTTAAAATAAATATTTTAGTTTTTTTCAGCTAGCCATTTTTTTCAATTAATGTTTCTTTTTGTTTGTTTTAAACTGCGGACTAAACGATTCTATTCATTTGTTTTTAGAACTTTCCGTTAATTTATATCTATTTGTATATAAGCTGTAATCTCTGTTAGTCTGTCTGTCTATCTGTTTGTTTTTCCGATCAGAACTTGCAGGACCCCTGGACTGATTTGCCTCAAATATTGATTGGAGAACTCGGGAGAGCCACGCATATTCTTAGCTCGGTTTGAGCGTATCGACTTTTATTTTGAAAATTTAGTTTCCCAGTTAAATCGACCAAGTGCGGGTAAACGGCGGGAGTAACTATTAGTAACCTGGGCAGCACCGGGTTCTCAAGCTAGTATCAGTATAAAGTATTATAAAGTAATAAAGTAATATAAAGTAATAAAGTAATATAGGTCTACTAATAGAACTCTGCATACTTACTCTAGTTATGACTCTTAATATTCCTATGAGCGTGGGACTCGTGGGACACAGCAAATGTGCAATGAAAACAGACCAATTTTACTTGATTAGTGAGTTAACAAGGGTATAGTAAAACTAATTCCTTTGTATGCTTTGTAACACCACTAAATACACTTAAGTATTGCTATAAAGTCGTATTCCTATTCCAGAGCATTCCGATTATAACTGTAGATGTCAAGGTTTTTTTTTACCTTTGATTCATTGTACGAGCTTGGTGCAATAGACTTTGCATCCACTTCCACTAATGTTTCAGCTTTAGTTGTTATATTCAACGTAACATTGTAGATTCTCCAAAGGTTCCTAAATGTGATAAAATTAAAAGAAATTCCATTTTTCAAAACTCATCTCTTAATTTGGCCAATTGTAGTTTTTGCAACAAGTTATTAATGCAAAACATCAATTTCATTTAAGTTTTTGAAAAGAAAAATTAAAAATTTAAAGTTACTCCAGAGGCCGGAAAATGATAGGCATGATTTCATTTTAAACCGAGCTACTTGGTGTTTCCATCTATTTCCATGTTTATTAAAACACCCTTTTACAGAGTACACGATAAAATCAAATTAAGAAAAAGCCTAAAAACTAAAAATAAGTTTTCCAACCTAGCCTTTCATGACTGACCCGTTNAAATGTCAACTTTAAACTAATAATAAGGTGTGAGAATTAGTTCTTGATGCTATTGGTTTCATTTTCGAACATATCCCTATTTTGAAACAATTGCTTTCTGCTCATGTCGCGTTTTCGGAACATATCCTGGTTTTGAGAAAAAACAGGATTTTTTGATAATGGGCCAAGTGTTAGTTTTGAAACTAGTGTCCCCTGGAATAAAGGTAGACAGAAAAGAAAAATGAGAAATATTGGAAAAAATTATTAACTGCATTAACAACATGTGTCAGTTACTAGTCGCTTAATGTTGTAATTTGTAAAAAATAAGAAAATAAAAAATTCCCAATTTGTACAAAAAAATTTCTTACTTGGTCGTGAATACTGGAGCACATTCCAGCTTTGCAAGTGTTTCTATGACAATATTATCTGGTCTAAAGCCAGCCAGGAATAAATATGGATATCTAACTAAACCATACAGGTCCACAGGGGTTTAAAAAAAATAATTTTCTAATAGAAAGGGTCAAAGAGAAGGAAAACTACCTCCCCCCTGAACCCCTCCCCTACAACATTCATTGGTATAGATGGGCATGTTTATAATTTTTTTGTGTTGTCAGGATAAACAAGCTGAGCGACATAAGCTAAATAATAACAAATTAAGTTAACAAATTAATCCTGTCACAATTAGGCTATTTTGTCTAATTTTGCACTTAGACTTGAGAAAGGGGAGTGTGATACATGTCCCTAGTTTCCGGTCCTATGTATCAAACTGTGATTTTCTAATCCCTATATCTTTAAAACCCAACGTCGTAGACCTAAGATATTTTTTAACAATGCACTCTGTTAGATTAATTAATTTAAGATTGAAAAATCAAAATTTTACATAATCAGGTTGCAAAGAACTAGAAGTTATAAAATTCGAGTTTGTGGGAAAGACTCAATTTATTTCGAAATGGGAATTTGGCTGTAAAATATGGATGGCTGTTAATTAATTTAGCAACAAAAGTTGTATCTAATTATCGCTGCCAAATAAGCATTTTTATTATTTCGAAATTTAGAGCTTACAGAACTGTCAACACATACCTCCGTCAGAGTCCAACCAGTTGGGATCTATCTCAATAATCCATTCCTTGACAGTTCAGGACAAATGTTGTATTCAGAGCAAATGTTGTATTCAGGACAAATGTTGTATTTAGGACAAATGTTGTATTCAAGACAAATGTTATATTCAGGACAAATGTTGTATTCAGGAAAAATGTTGTATTCAGGAAAAATGTTGTATTCAGGAAAAATGTTGTATTCAGGACAAATGTTGTATTCAGGAGAAATGTTGTATTCAGGACAAATGTTATATTCAGGAAAAATGTTGTATTCAGGACAAATGTTGTATTCAGGACAAATGTTATATTCAGGACAAATGTTGTATTCAGGACAAATGTTGTATTCAGGAGACTTGTGTCTTCCGCTACTGCTCGGGTTGTGATGGTTATATTTAGATTCCTCAATATATTCAAGGGACTGTTCACCCTTTTTGGATCATCAGTCCTGAATACAACTCAAAGTCTAAATTAGTTAGTGATGTTTAATAAAAAGTCAAGGCGTTGCGACACTTTAAAGTCTTGACAATTCAACTTGTTCATATCAGTCGAGAATGATGTGTTATATTCATTTTAACCCAATATCTTAATGTCGAATCTCCATTTTAAAATAATCTCAATTTTTTTCGAGCATTTTTCTTCGTACTATTGTTCTTTATATGCAAAATCTAAACAATGTTAAATGTCGGTTTGGGGGGGGTGGGGTGTAAAATACTTGATTTTTTAATGATAAAACTACCAGTAAGTATGATTCAATATCATTGGACTTGATATGAATTCCACAGCAGGATCATATGTTATAGACGGTTTCCATTCAGCACAGTATTTTTCATCTCCATATGCTCTCTTAAATCCATCTCTAGAAAATCATTATTATTATATTATTATTATTATTATTATTATTATTTCATAAATATCATTATTTCAAAAAAGGATAGATAAAGTATACTTGTAATCAACAATCATACAGGTCCCTGCCCCAGTGCTCTCAAACCTGGAAAAATATAAATTATTGAAAACTTAAATATATTTTAAAGAAATAAACTGATTTTGATTGGTTCAAAACTGAACACGTCAAACTAAAGTAAATTTCACGTATGATTAAAATGAAGAGTTCTTGACAAGAACAAACATTTCTTATGTTACCGACACTTACCTCTGACCCTTTTGTAAAAGTAAATTCAGCCTAAAGTCTGACCGCGTCAACCTAGTTGCACCGGCTAGTCCTATTGAGTGCTTTATTTACCCAATGTCCGGGCGATACAATACAAACTGGGACCGGAAAGGTTGATCCGGCTTGGGAAATTCAAATGTAGTACGGCTGCCCGTGCCGAATAACCAACCTTATCATGTACATTTTATAAACTGTTAAAATGCTCTAACATCAAACTACCGAACTGAACATTATGTTCAAAGTCAACGTCAGAATGATAGAGATGTTTTACAATTTTTGTATCTCTTAACTTTTGTTCGTTTTCTTGAAATGTTTACCGTAAATTTAAAATCTCAAAAAAAATATCTCAGTTTGAAAATGCCACACTAAACGAAGCTGAAGGGTCGGTAAAATAGGTCTATGATAGGCCGGGTACTGTAAGTCAGGCCGCGTCATCAAATTCTAAACCGGGCTGACACATAGGATTGGGGTGGGGCGGTACTTGCTGCGTGTTACTACAAGGGGTCGGTCCTGTGCTAATTCAAATTGACCCTAATCCACCATGATGCCTTACTTGAATTCGAACATCTTTGGTTCCTCTTTTCCGACCACAAGCTTAAAATCATCAATCTTTACGTTGATCACTTTCCCAACTATCTGGAACATTTTCTCTACTTTCACCCAGGCACCGTTCATCTCAGAGTTTGTCACTTCCACAGAAATATTGTAAAATGCTTCCTAAAATAAGACATGTTTTCACTGTCCCAGTAAAATGTCAATGTGTTTTTACTTTGGAATTTTGTGTTGGAGGATGATACAGGGTTACCCTCAAAAGATGAGACTTTAATGACGACCTGAAACTCTTAAAATGAGACTTCAATGACAACCTGAAACTAATAAAATGAGACTTCAATGACGACCTGAAACCCAAAAAATTAGAATTCAATGACGACCTGAAACTCATAAAATGAGACTTCAATGACGACCTGAAACCCATAAAATGAGACTTCAATGACGACCTGAAACCCATAAAATGAGACTTCAATGACGACCTGAAACCCATAAAATGAGACTTCAATGACGACCTGAACCCCATAAAATGAGACTTCAATGACGACCTGAAACCCTGAAACTCACGAGGATTTAAAAGGTTGTGGTTCTAAATTGGCCTTTGTAAATATATAATCAAAGATTTTACAAAATTAGAAACATACGCAAGATCGCAAGAAATTGATTCTGTTGGGTCGTCTCTGAAGTCTCATCCTTTCCGGGTAACCCTGTATATAATGAGAAAGAAATATTAGCCGCCACATTCACAGAGGGGGGGGGGCTCAGCATGTATACGCCCCTCCCTATGACCCCTCTCAAAACTTACATAAGAGAAGTTAAAGTGAAGTCTGTGTTCATTTGCGTTCCATTTATCTGGAACTTGGAATGTTCCTAGATCAATATTGGAACTGTTTGTTATGTTTGTCACTCGGATCTGTTCAATTGTCCCTAAAAAAATATAATATTAAAATTTTAAAAAATTTGACATGTAAGAAGAAAATATTTTGTACAATTTGGCACAAATTCAATAAAATGTTATAGGGTCTTACTAAAGTCGATGCAAAAGTATTTTTCCCATTTACTTCATAATCATGGGTAACATTTCGGAAATTCGGAACCATGTACATTTAATCATCGATTCTTTTGACGCATTCGTATATGTAGTTGATATTTCATAATATTTTTTAAATTTTTATGACCCGAGAGTTACTTTCATGGAAACATTCATTTCTGTTTCGAGGATTTTTGATAATGAAGACGACATTTTCATATTTTCCAGGAATGTTTGAAAATTCGGTGCCAAACGTGAAAACAAGTTGTAAGTGAAATATTAATTAAAGCGTATAATTATAAGTAACCCAGCTCAACTCAAAAAAGGCAATGCACGATTCAGAAAATACCCTTTGAATCTTTGTTTGATCAATAATGAATTTTAATTTNTTAGTATATTTAATCATTGTTTCTATTAGATACCTTTAGTATATTTAATCATTGTTTCTATTAGATACCTTTAGTATATTTAATCATTGTTTCTATTAGATACCTTTAGTATATTTAATCATTGTTTCTATTAGATACCTTTAGTATATTTAATCATTGTTTCTATTAGATACCTTTAGTATATTTAATCATTGTTTCTATTAGATACCTTTAGTATATTTAATCATTGTTTCTATTAGATACCTTTAGTATATTTAATCATTGTTTCTATTAGATACCTTTAGTATATTTAATCATTGTTTCTATTAGATACCTTTAGTATATTTAATCATTGTTTCTATTAGATACCTTTAGTATATTTAATCATTGTTTCTATTAGATACCTTTAGTATATTTAATCATTGTTTCTATTAGATACCTTTAGTATATTTAATCATTGTTTCTATTAGATACAATTAGAATATATTTAATAATTGTTTCTATTATTAGATACCTTTAGTATATTTAATCATTGTTTCTATTAGATACCTTTAGTATATTTAATCATTGTTTCTATTGCTACCTTTAGTATATTTAATCATTGTTTCTATTAGACACCTTTAGTATATTTAATCATTGTTTTTATTAGATACCTTTAGTATATTTGAAAAACAATGTTATTTTCCTATCCAGAGGAAGTTGGTTGGACTGGGGACCAAATGCTGGTAGTCCAAGATGTGTCTCTTCATCCAACCCCATCGGAATATACCGCAAATCAACCTAAAGAGTAAAACCTCATTTTTTATTTAACTGATTACTTGCATCAAACTCTAATTTTCTAATACTTGTGTACATCTTTGATATTTCAAACTTTGTCCTTAGGAACTAGCGGAATTTCGGACATCAAGATTATGTTGCAACGATATTATGGATTAAAAAACCCATGGTTGCAAAGATATGGACAACATTTTCCAAACATAAGAGCAAAACATGGTGCAAAATTTCATTGCAAAATTTCTGTTTCCTTTTGTCAAAGGATTTTATAAGCGCTATTGAATGTCGAATTCCAGTGACTGAAATTATGTCTAAATATAGATATAGGTTGGTGTAGGTATATCCAAAAAAGACAAGAAATTGATTTATATAATACCTCAAAGTCAACAATAGCTTGATAAACTTGATTTGTTTCTGCAGAGTTCAACCATTGTTCAGAAACAAGGTTGAACAACCTTTAATAAAATATATTAGATTAACTTTTTACTCTTTTTTCTGTTGAATTGTTTTGTATCCAATAAACGTCAAAACAGCCTAACAGAGGTTCAAAATTTGCTTTCAAAAATTTATTTTTTTCTAATGTTGGCATTCAACGTTTTTAAAATTCTGCAAAATTTTTATCGCTGTTATTACTGATCTGCGACTGCAACTATAGACCATATAAGCCTAGTTTAAACATCAGTTAAATGGTTTTAAAACATAATTCTTACTTGCACGTGATGTTGTATTCTCCAGCGAGGTCGTAAATGTGTTCTATTTGTATCTTTTTTACACCAGCCGTTAATACAGAATCAGTTTCCAACAATTCTAATATTTTTTTTAGTTAACCCTATCTCTGCTGGGGTACTTGAAAACCAGGATATGCTGCTCTAAATCCCATGTTTGAAGTCCAAATATGACAAATGATACATCATTGGAAAGCTCTTGTGCTCTAATTTTAGAATCTGCAAAATAATTTGCAAATTTGCAATAATTGAATTTTTTATCGCAAAATCCAGTTTTAGCATTATGGTAGGTCATAGTTAACATTATAGTTGGTCAATGTTATCATTATAGTAGGTCAGATTTAACATTATAGCAGGTCAGAGTTAACATTATAGTAGGTCAGAGTTAACTTTATAGTAGGTCAGAGTTAACATTATAGTAGGTCAGAGTTAAAAGTAAGACGACATTTTACCAATCTAATGTTTTATAAATAGCAAATAAAGCAAATAGTAATACCAGTGTCCAGTAGCTTGCAAATCAACTTATTGAGTTAAATAGGTCTGTTTACACTGCACAATTGATGCGTTTCGTGTTTATTGAACTATTTAAAACTTAAATCTAACAATTTTCTTATTTCACAGTTGTAGATAACAGTAGACATTTTAATTTTTTACACAAACATTTACTTTTATATAAAACTTGGAAGCTGTTCTTGATGTAGCGAATTAAGAAAATCGAAAAAAATGTTTTTAAAAAAAATATAAATCTATTATTGATCTGAAAAAGAAACAGTTTTAAAAAAAATATAAAATTGGAAATAAATAAAAGATACAAATATTGTTGAACTTTATTGAATAAAGATGAATTAAAGTATTTGTTTCTTACTTTCATTTTTTTCCATTTAAGTTTTATCCGATATCAGAGAACTGTCGAACCAAGTTTGCATAGCCGAAACAATATAAAATAATATTTAAAAAAATATAAAATCAAATATTGAGTAAGAAGCACAGTAAGAATAAAGTTGAGACATTTAAAAGTCAAAATAACAGCAATTGGGCAGTGTAAACAGACCTATTTTACTAAGTGATTTTATAACTTCTATAGTAAAACTATTTGTTTATCAGCATTAACCGTGGGGGGTCTGAATCTATGCATACACGGGGGGCGCCCCACTCCCCCCACCCTAGAAAAGACCTTGGAGAATAGGCAAAGATAAAGGATTGAAATGCATGAGTAATGTTCATAGCCCAATTTTTGAAATCCAGCTCATTGAAAAAAAAATTAATTCGAAAGCTTTATAGTTCGGTTCCTAGGAAGGGTTGAAAAAATGCAAAAAAAATGTAAAAAATGTTAAAAATATTTGTTTTTTCTAAACAAACAATTATTAAAGTATGACACATGTTTCTACATTCATTTTTCAAGGGCTTTAAAAAAATAGTTTTTAAATCAGTAGCTTTAGTCATAAAATAGTTATGGGCTATTTTTGATTTTTTTTTACAAAGACCGAACTTTTTACCGCTCTTTTACTTTTCTACAAAAACTCCTTTAAATTTCTATTTATAAAAAGTCAAAAAATACCTCAGAGTTGGTGCTTTACAGTTGGAATTGGAAACAATGATAAGAAGACTGTTAGTAGTTGGGAAATCTACGACAAGATTTAAAAACAAATAACGAAGCGTAGTTGAACTACATAGACTGAGTGAAACCACCTCAGACGAAGTGGTTGAACTCCGTTTACTTAGTTCAAGTTTTACTGTTGATTAAATCATGTCCCTGACTGTTTGTTCATTGCCTCAGCCGTCACATTGTAGATTCCATTTGACCTAAACATTACTCAAATAATCTAAACATT